CTACATCTCCCGTAATTCCCTCTGTCACGCCACGAAAGAGCTGAAGGATGGCTGCACACAAGAAGCACCGATGTAAGGTAAGTTAAGCCGGATTTTAAAACTCTTCATAGCTTAAATATATGCCTTTGCTCGCAAAGATACGGTTTTATGTTTGCTCTCGACTCAGTTTGTGTTATCTCGAGCAGCTACAACATTTCAGGAGCTCATAACTCGTTAGCTAGCTAGCGTTAGTTAGCTCGACGCTAACGCGCTGTAAGACCCGCTGTTCGGTACCGTGAGGCGTTTTCAGTGGTGTTTAGCTGTGCAGGGGGAGAGAGTGGAGGACATTAGGCTGGTTTAGTGTAATTAACCTAGTGTTTTAAAGGGCTGTGTGTTCCGTGCGTGCGTAGTGGAGAGAGGGGGGAGAGAAGGGGGTGCTGGAGAAGTGGTTAGCTGGATGGTAATGAGTAAGGTAGATAAGCAGATTTTTAAACCCTTCATAGCTTAAATATTTGCCTTTGCTCGCAAAGATACGGTTTTATGTTTGCTCTCGACTTAGACTCTGTGTTATCTCGAGCGACCACAACATTTCAGGAGCTCATTACTCGTTAGCTAGTTAGCTTGACGCTAACGCGCTGTAAGGCCCACTGTTTGGTACCGTGAGGCTTTTTCAGTGATGTTTAGCTTTAGAGAGAGAGAGAGAGATTTGGTTGGTTTTGTGTAGTCAGAGGTTTAAAGGGCTGTGTGTTCCCTGCGTAGTGGAGAGAGAGAGAGAGAGAGAGAGAGAGAGAGAGAGAGAGAAGGGGGAGAGAAGAGGGAGAGAAGGATGGCTGGTTAGCTGGATGGTAATGAGCTATAAGGCCCACTTTGGTAACCTCAAGCTTAGTTTGTATGTTTTTAGTTTAGGGAGAAAAAGTGTGTTGGATATTTTATTGGTTTCATGTGATCAAAGTTTTTAAAAAAGCTGTATGTACATTTTAGAGAGAGAAAGCTGTGTGGAGATTATCTTATTAATCTAACTTAGTTGAAAAATACAGCAGGGTAAGACTCACTGTTCTTACCAGGTATTTTATTAATTCAAATAATCAGAGTATTAAAAGGGCTGTGGGTTTTGTGCGTGTGTGTGCACAGAGAGAGAGAGAGAGAGAAAGAGAAAACAGCCATGGAGCTTAACTGGATGACAATTGACTGCAAGGTGGGGCTGAAATATTTGGTAAAATATCTGATTGCAGGTTGTTCTGAAAAAGATTGTATCTGCTATTTGATCTGTTACTGATTTCAGTAAATGAAAGGCATGTGTTGTGGCCAAAAGACCAGCACATCCATTATTTTTGGCCGAGGCTTGGACTCTGAAAGTAGTGTGCCAACCTGCCAGTTAATGGTGATTGTGTTGTCCTGTACACAGTGTACACAACAGAGGGGTCCTTCTGATTAGTCCGACTCATGTAGAGGTGGTTCAGAAGCTCTGTGTTAGGTTAAATTTCTGCACTTATAAATTCTTAAGACAGTGTTGTTCATCATGTAGGCTATGATTATTATTGTAACTCTTTGTGATTTGAAAATCATTTAATCTTTCAGGTGTACTATAAGGCTCACTGCCTCGCTATATGTATATGTTTATATATGTTTAGTTTTAGAGAGAGAAAGACAGTTTTGGAGAGGGAGACAGCGAGAGCCATTCTTGTGCGGACTCAGCAGGAGACAGCAAGACGTGTGGAGAGAAAGAGAGAGAGTGAGGCACTGATCTAGATTTGAGCTCTAAATATAAGAAGAGCTAATTCACACAGTTGCATTTAGGTCTACACTTACAGTAAATGAATTAATATTTAATAATATAATACATTACAAGCATAGTTTTTGTTATGGTTAGAACTCTTTTCTTTGCACTGGCCTATTATCAAGACCTGTTATTGATTTAATCTTGTCTTAAGAGTCATTCCATTTAGCTTCTTTTCAAAATAATTTTTATAATATCATATGAAATATGCTGTTCCTACTTGCAAATATATGTTGATCACATCTCACTAGTAGAAAATAGTATTGGAAATCTTAAAATTCTGTTTATTACAAGGCTTTTTCTAGGCCATACAAATGTTTTTGCTGTTCCATGTGGCCTTGCTTTGAGTATGATTTGTCAACCTTCTGCTTCAGATACTCTCAGTTGCAGGAGGAGAAGATAAAATGAGACGGAGGAGGGTGAAACCACTTGATGAAGCAGTACAACATGTCACCAGTGCAACTGACAAGACTGATGTATTGGAGAGTAAATTAATAAACCCTTATAAAGGTAGGCCTGGTTTTCTGTATTGTTGTGGTTTTGCCTGCATACTTACATTAGAGTAAAGAAAATAATTTCTCTTGACAAATGTTAGCCATTTTGGGGGCATGCAACTAAAATACAAACCATTTATCTAGAACACAAGTGTATATAGTAGTAGACTAGTTGTTTGTACCAATGAAATGCACGTGAAATCCAGCTTAATAATGTTTGTAAAATACGTCTATCTGCTGCTAAATGTTGTGTTTTTGATATGTTAATTTGAATATTTTTGTTTTATTATTATTATCCACATTTGAATTGGCCACTGCCTGGTGCAGTTCACTTTTCATTTGCGTGAAGTTCAAAAATCCTTTTCATCTGTTTTGCTCGACTGCCACGCCCACAGTCCTCTGTGCTGAAGCTGGTTTATGTAATATTGTGTACACTAAATCTAATGGTGGTGTATTAATTCAATTAGAAACAGATTAATTGCCACACTATGATACATTTTAAAACAGTTAATCCACTGTCTTACAGTGCAGGATGTTTTTCTGTATCACAGCTGCTACAACATGCATATGATTTGTTTGGCTTTATTTTACTTCTTTGACAGGTCATGGTGTATTTGCCCTGGCTTCTTTGAATAAAGGAGATTTTGTGGTTGAATGCAGAGGGGAACTTATGGACTTTCTTGAATCAGGGAGAAGGAGGAAGGTCTCCCGAATTACTGTATTACTTTTGGCAGAATAAACGGTGGTAAGTTTCAGAGATGATTACATGTTAGTGATTATCATAGAAGGTATTTTGTAGAAATTTTTTTTTGTCTAAAATTTAGCTTGTGGTATCATTAACCATATGAAATGAAATTATTTTGTAGTAATAACTATACTTTCAGTAGGGGTGGGCAATAAGGCCTTGAAATAATATCACAAAATCTTGGGATATTTTTTGCAGTAACAATATTAACTAATTAACTAAAGAAAGCTCTAAAATTATTTCCGTTCATTTAAAATACATTATCATATTTTGCTGCAGATAGTGAATTCTTAAATACTAATTCCAATAAATGTACACTAATTTAACCTTCAAAAAGCTGACAGTGAGAACGATGCACTTGCCACATGGTGGAGGCTGCATAACTTCTTATTGTCAGCAAGTTAGCCAGTAAATATCTGTGCATATCTCTGCCACCATGCATCTGCTGAGAGAGGATTCCGCCCTGTTTGCAATATTGTAGCTTTTGAAGCCAGCGTCAGGGAACATGCTTGTTTTCTTGGTAAATAAAGGTAGCAGACCACCTGTCAGAGGAGCTCAAACAAACATCTCAAATGTTTTAATAGGTTATTTTGTGGTCACCGTATTTTTTGACATTTTGCAAATTACTGTTGTTTGTTTGGGGTCTAGCCTTCTGTAGCCAATAAACTTCCACACTACTGACGTGTCTCCCCTTTTAAGAACTAAGTTGTCCTCAGTGCTAGTGATACTGTTCTCTGTATGGCAAAATCCTATTGCATTTAAAAAAGTACCGGTGTTAGTATTATGTTGCCCACCCCTATATTTCAACAGTATTTTCTTTTGTTTTTATTAATGCTTATTGATTGTTGTGGCACTGCTACCTATATGCAGTAATCTAGTTCTAACATAGAATGCAATAAATGTATTTTGTTTGTTTGTTTGTTTGTTTGTTTTTTTGTTTTTTTTTTTTCCATTTTTTAAGCATTGTTGCAACAAGAGAGGATGACACCCTTGGCCGACTAGTGAACGATGAGCACAAGGACCTCAACTGTAAAATGAAAAAGATCATTGTCCAGGGAAAACCGCATCTCTGCGTTTTTGTGATGAGAGATATAATGCCTGGAGAGAAAATAACCTACGACTGTGGAGGAAGTGACTGGCATCGGAGGAGAAAGGTTTGTAAGATGTGTTTGGAAAATATTTGAAATAGATTTTACTAGCTTAGCAGTGTGATTGAGTGCTTATCAGCATTTGATCAAAAAGTAACCCTTTGAAAGCCCTTGCAATGTGTATTGCTGTCCTTGACATTGAGTAGAAGTTACATTTTCTTGAGATTAATTTAGATAATGGCTTAGCCTGAATTACATTTCTTAGTAAGGATTTTCTTAGTAAGGATTTTAGTAAGGATTTTAATGGAATCTTAGTGGAAACATTTCAGTTGAGGTCATAAACTTTAATCATCCACACTATTAATGCTATTAAAAATTATTAGCTGTTTTGTATGATTGTTTAGTATGATAATGTCAGTTGTTCTAAAGATTGTTTTTGTTAACAACTATAAGACAAGTGAATGGCATTATTAGCTTAGTAGTATGGCATTTTTTGGTTTAGTTTTTGTTATTAACAAAAGCTCTTCAATTCTAAATGTTTAACTGTGATTATTTGAAATCCCTGTAGCCTGCACATAAGGACACTGCTAACATCAAGGACAATGTTGAACCAAGCCGCTCGGCTTCAGGTCCTGTGACCAATGCTGGAGCTTCCACTTCTGACTTAAAGGTATAAAAAAAGTGGTTTTATATCCATAAAGTGACATATTTGCATTACAGTATGTAATAAATGCACTGGTGTACATCAGTTACGATCAGTTGTTCAGAAGATTGTTTATTTAAAACAATTAGACAAGTGAATGACATTACTAGCCTAGTAATATGGCATTTTTGGTGTAGGTTATTGTCCTATTAAGTAGTTGTGATGTGTAGACTGAAGTTTACATTACATGTACACTATGTGGTGTAGCCAAGGACAGCCTCGTTTCTTTTGTATGAAATGCTGTTCAATTCTACATGTTAAACTGTGATATTTGAAATCCCCATAGCCTCTATGTGAGGACACTGCTAACATGATGGATGTGGTTGAATCAATCCGCTCAGCGTCAAGTCCTGTGACCAACACAGGATCTTTTTCTTCTGGCTTAAAGGTATTTAAAAAGTGGTTTTATGTGCATGTAGTCATTGGACTACTTGGTAGCTCTGCAGCTAATTATGGTCAAGTTACTTCAGTACTGATTTCATTTGTTGTCAGATATAAATTTGTGAGAGTTGTTTTTGTGTGTTTTTAAGTGAGGCCTTAGGGATGGTATTAGTTATACATGCTCTCAGCTCTTGCATTGTGGGGACCCTTTTAGGATAGAAATGTTTGAGTTGTTTGGGTTACACCCACTGTCAGGTTTAGCACGTCTAAGTAGAACCTTCCACTATAGCAGTAGACTCGCAGGTCAACATATAGACAACATTTCTGAACTATCGTGTAGGTTACCTTATGACTAATGTCATTCAGTGTCTCATATGAACTGGTAATAGTTTCCTGTTTTTAAACAAGTGTTTAAGGTTGATATTGGTTACACACACTGTCAGGTCTAAGTAGAAACTTCCATTATAGCAGTAGACTCACAGGACAATATGTAGACTTTATTTCTGAATTACAGTTTAAATGACCTCACGAGAAATGTCATTCAACTTCTGAAATTAATTTGTAATAATTTTCTCTTTGTGCATCAGTCTGTAAGGTTGGTATTGGTTACACACGCTGTCAGGTTTAGTATAGTGGTGACCACGTCTAGTCAACCTGAGCCACCAGAGCAGTGAACACACAGAAGAATATATGGTCTATTGTTCTCAGGTGCAGTTTGTCCTCTTAAGTTTATAATATGAATATTTGATTGATGTAATTAACACTTTACACTATGTGAGGTTCATTGAAATGTTTAACTGTGATATTTGAAATCCCTTTAGCCTGCATGTGAGGACACTGCTAACATGATGGACGACGTTGAAACAAGCCACTCAACTTTGGTCCTCTGACCAACACTGGAGCTTCCTCTTCTGACCTAAAGGTATTTTAAACAAGTGTAGACGTACTTGCATTACAGCATGTAATTACTGCATTGGTTTACACATGTATTAGTTGTTCAGAAGATTGTTTCTTTAAAACTATTAGACAAGTGAATCACTTTACTAGTCAAGTAATATGACATTTTTTGGTGTACGTTATTGTCCTATTAGGTAGTTGTGATGTGTAGACTGACATTTGCAATACATGTACACTATGTGGTGTAGCCTGGGACAGCATTATGGACATGGTTGAACCAAGCTGCTCAGCTTCAAGTCCTGTGACCAACTCTGGAACTTCTTCTGGCTTAAAGGTATTTAAAAAAAAAATAAATAAATTATTTGCATATAGAGATTGAACTACTTGGTAGTTATGCAGCTAATTATGGTTAATTGAAGTTACTTCAGAACTGATTTCATTTGTTGTGTGATATAAATTTGTGAGAGTTAATTGTTTTTAAGTGAGGCCTTAGGGATGGTATTAGTTACACATGCTCTCAGGTTTTGCATTTTGGGGACCCTTTCAGGATAGAAACGTTTGAATGGTTTGGGTTACACCCATTGTCAGGTTTAGCATAGTGGGGACCACGTCTAAGTAGAACCTTACACTATAGCAGTAGACTTACAGGACCATATGTAGACTTTATTTCTGAATTACAGTTTAAATGCCCTCCTGAGCAATGTCATTCAGCATCTGAAATTAATTTGTAATAGTTTCTTCTTTGTACACGAGTCTGTAAGGTTGATTTTGGTTACACACATTGTCAGGTTTAGTATAGTGGGGACCACGTCTAGCCAACCTGAACCAGCAGAGCAGTGAACACACAGAAGAATGTATGGTCTATTGTTTTCAACAGCAGTTTGTCCTCTCATAATTAATCCCATTAAGGGTGTAATATGATTTTTTTTTATTCATGTTAAGATTGATGTCATTTACACACACTGTTCTATAAAATGGTGAATCCATGTCTGGTTAACTTGAAGCAGCAGACACTGATAAAACGTGTGAAATTGTGTACTGCATTTTAAATAATGATCTACTTGTGTTTGAGATTTATTGAAATGTTTAACTGTGATATTTGAAATCCCTTTAGCGCTGATGTGAGGGCACTGCTAACATGATGGATATGGTTAAACCAAGCCAATTAGGAACAAAGTGTACAAAGAGGAAACCATTACAAATTAATTTCAGATGTTGAATGACATTACTCCTGAGGGCATTTAAACTGTAATTCAGAAATAAAGTCTACATATTGTCCTGTGAGTCTACTGCTATAGTGGAAGGTTCTACTTAGACGTGGTCCCCACTACGGCAGACCTGACAGTGTGTGTAACAAATATCAACCTTAAACACTTTAAAAACAGGAAACTACTACCAGTTCATATGAGACTCTGAATGACATTAATCATAAGGTATCCTACACTGTTGTTCAGAAATGTTGTCTATATGTTGTCCTGCGAGGCTACTGCTATAGTGGAAGGTTCTACTTAGACGTGTTCCCCACTATGCTAAACCTGACAATGGGTGTAACCCAAACCATTCAAACGTTTCTATCCTGAAAGGGTCCCCACAATGCGAGACCTGAGAGCATGTGTAACTAATACCATCCCTAAAGCCTCACTTAAAACATTAGTTAGTTGTGACAGTTGTGATGTGTAGACTGACATTTGCAGTACATGTACACTATGTGGTGTAGCCTGGGACAGCCTCGTTTCTTTTGCATGAAATGCTCCTCAATTCTAAATGTTAACTGTGATATTTGAAATCCCTGTAGCTTGCATGTGAGGACTCTGCTAACATGATGGATGTGGTTGAATCAAACTGCTCAGCGTCAAGTCCTGTGACCAACTCTGGAACAACTTCTTCTGGCTTAAAGGTATTTTAAAAAGTGTTTTTATATGCATATAGTGATTGAACTACTTGGTAGTTATGCAGCTAATTATGGTTATTTGAAGTTACTTCAGGACTGATTTCATTTGTTGTGTGATATAAATTTGTGAGAGTTCATTGTTTTTAAGTGAGGCTTTTGGGATGGTATTAGTTACACATGCTCTCATGTTTTGCATTTTGGGGACCCTCTCAGGATAGAAATGTTTGAATGGTTTTAGCTACATTCACTGTCAGATTTAACGTAGTGGGGACCACATTTAGGTAGAAATGTCTACTAAAGCAGTAGACATACAGGACAACTTATAGACAACATTTCTGAACTATCGTGTAGGTTACCTTATGACTAACGTCATTCAGAGTCTCATATGAACTGGTAATAGTTTCCTGTTTTTAAACAAGTGCTTAAGGTTGATATTGGTTACACACACTGTCGGGTCTGCCATAGTGGGGACCATGGCTAAGTAAAACCTTCCCCTATAGCAGTAGACACACAGGACAAGATGTAGCCTTTATTTCTGAATTACAGTTTAAATGACCTCATGAGAAATGTCATTTAACGTCTGAAATGAATTTGCAATAATTTCCTCTTTTTATATGAGTCTGTAAGGTTGATATTTGTTGCACACACTGTCAGGTCTTCCATGGTGGGGACCACATCTAAGTAGAACCTTCCACTATAGCAGTAGACTCACAGGACAATATGTAGACTTTATTTCTGAATAACAGTTTAAATGACCTCACAAGCAGTGTCATTCAACTTCTGAAATTAATTTGTAATAGTTTTCTCTTTGTGCATCAGTCTGTAAGGTTGGTACTGGTTACACACACTGTCAGGTTTAGTATAGTGAGCACTGCGTCTAGTCAACCTGCACCACCAGAGCAGTGAACACACAGAAGAATATATGGTCTATTGTTCTCAAGAGCAGTTTGTCCTCTTAAGTTTATAATATGAATTTTTGATTGATGTAATTAACACTTTACACTATGTGAGGTTCATTGAAATGTTTAACTGTGATATTTGAAATCCCTTTAGCCTGCATGTGAGGACACTACTAACATGATGGACGACGTTGAACCAAGCCACTCAACTTTAGGTCCTCTGACCAACACTGGAGCTTCCTCTTCTGACTTAAAGGTATTTTAAACAAGTGTAGACGTACTTGCATTACAGCATGTAATTACTGCATTGGTTTACACATGTATTAGTTGTTCAGAAGATTGTTTCTTTGAAACTATTAGACAAGTGAATCACTTTACTAGCCAAGTAATATGACATTTTTTGGTGTAAGTTATTGTCCTATTAAGTAGTTGTGATGTGTAGACTGACATTTGCAATACCTGTACACTATGTGGTGTAGCCTGGGACAGCCTCGTTCTTTTGCATTAAATGCTCATTAATTCTAAATGTTAAACTGATATTTGAAATCCCTGTAGCCTCCATGTGAGGACTCTGCTAACATGATGGATGTGGTTGAACCTTAAAGCTTCAAGTCCTGTGACCAACTCTGGAACTTCTTCTGGCTTAAAGGTATTTATTATATGCATATAGTGATTGAACTACTTGGTAGTTATGCAGCTAATTATGGTTAATTGAAGTTACTTCAGAACTGATTTCATTTGTTGTGTGATATAAATTTGTGAGTTAATTGTTTTTAAGTGAGGCCTTAGGGATGGTATTAGTTACACATGCTCTCAGGTTTTGCATTTTGGGGACCCTCTCAGGATAGAAATGTTTGAATGGTTTTAGTTACATTCACTGTCAGATTTAGCGTAGTGGGGACCACATTTAGGTAGAGACTTCCACTAAAGCAGTAGACATACAGGACAACTTATAGACAACATTTCTGAACAACAGTGTAGGTTACCTTGTGACTAATGTCATTCAGGGTCTCATATGAACTGGTAGTAGTTTCCTGTTTTTAAACAAGTGTTTAAGGTTGATATTGGTTACACACACTGTCGGGTCTGCCATAGTGGGGACCACGTCTAAGTAGAACCTTCCACTATAGCAGTAGACTTACAGGACCATATATAGACTTTATTTCTGAATTACAGTTTAAATGCCCTCATGAGCAATGTCATTCAACGTCTGAAATGAATTTATAATAGTTTCCTCTTTGTACACGAGTCTGTAAGTTTGATTTTGGTTACACACACTGTCAGGTTTAGCATAGTGGGGACCACGTCTAAATAGAACGTTCCACCATAGCAGTAGACTCATAGGACAATATGTAGACTTTATTTCTGAATTACAGTTTAAATGCCCTCATAAGCAATGTCATTCAGCGTCTGAAATGAATTTGTAATAGTTTCCTTTTTGTACACAAATCTGTAAGATTGATTTTGGTTACACACACTGTCAGGTCTTCCATAGAGGGGACCACGTCCAGGTAAAACCTTCCACTATAGCAGCAGACTTACTGGACAATATGTAGACTTTATTTCTGAATTACAGTTTAAATGACCTCATGAGCAATGTCATTCAACATCTGAAATGAATTTGCAATAATTTCCTCTTTTTATATGAGTCTGTAAGGTTGATATTTGTTGCGCACACTGTCAGGTCTGCCATGGTGGGGACCACATCTAAGTAGAACCTTCCACTATAGCAGTAGACTCACAGGACAATATGTAGACTTTATTTCTGAATAACAGTTTAAATGACCTCACAAGCAGTGTCATTCAACATCTGAAATTAATTTGTAATAGTTTTCTCTTTGTGCATCAGTCTGTAAGGTTGGTACTGGTTACACACACTGTCAGGTTTAGTATAGTGAGCACTGCGTCTAGTCAACCTGAACCACCAGAGCAGTGAACACACAGAAGAATATGGTCTGTTGTTCTCAAGAGCAGTTTGTCCTCTTAAGTTTATAATATGAATTTTTGATTCATATTAAGATTGATGTAATTAACACTTTTCAATGAACCTCACATAGTGTAATGTTTAACTGCGATATTTGAAATCCCTTTAGCCTGCATGTGAGGACACTACTAACATGATGGACGACGTTGAACCAAGCCACTCAACTTTAGGTCCTCTGACCAACACTGGAGCTTCCTCTTCTGACCTAAAGGTATTTTAAACAAGTGTAGACGTACTTGCATTACAGCATGTAATTACTGCATTGGTTTACACATGTATTAGTTGTTCAGAAGATTGTTTCTTTAAAACTATTAGACAAGTGAATCACTTTACTAGCCAAGTAATATGACATTTTTTGGTGTAAGTTATTGTCCTATTAAGTAGTTGTGATGTGTAGACTGACATTTGCAATACATGTACACTATGTGGTGTAGCCTGGGACAGCCTCGTTCTTTTGCATTAAATGCTCATTAATTCTAAATGTTAAACTGATATTTGAAATCCCTGTAGCCTCCATGTGAGGACTCTGCTAACATGATGGATGTGGTTGAACTCTAAAGCTTCAAGTCCTGTGACCAACTCTGGAACTTCTTCTGGCTTAAAGGTATTTAAAAAAAAAAAAATTATATGCATATAGTGATTGAACTACTTGGTAGTTATGCAGCTAATTATGGTTAATTGAAGTTACTTCAGAACTGATTTCATTTGTTGTGTGATATAAATTTGTGAGAGTTAATTGTTTTTAAGTGAGGCCTTAGGGATGGTATTAGTTACACATGCTCTCAGGTTTTGCATTTTGGGGACCCTCTCAGGATAGAAATGTTTGAATGGTTTTAGTTACATTCACTGTCAGATTTAGCGTAGTGGGGACCACATTTAGGTAGAGACTTCCACTAAAGCAGTAGACATACAGGACAACTTATAGACAACATTTCTGAACAACAGTGTAGGTTACCTTGTGACTAATGTCATTCAGGGTCTCATATGAACTGGTAGTAGTTTCCTGTTTTTAAACAAGTGTTTAAGGTTGATATTGGTTACACACACTGTCGGGTCTGCCATAGTGGGGACCACGTCTAAGTAGAACCTTACACTATAGCAGTAGACTTACAGGACCATATATAGACTTTATTTCTGAATTACAGTTTAAATGCCCTCATGAGCAATGTCACTCAGCGTCTGAAATGAATTTGTAATAGTTTCCTTTTTGTACACGTGTCCGTAAGATTGATTTTGGTTACACACACTGTCAGGTTTAGTATAGTGGGGACCACGTCTAAATAGAACGTTCCACCATAGCAGTAGACTCATAGGACAATATGTAGACTTTATTTCTGAATTAAAGTTTAAATGCCCTCATGAGCAATGTCATTCAGCGTCTGAAATGATTTGGAATAGTTTCCTGTTTTTGAACAAGTGTTTAGGGTTGATATTTGTTACACACACTGTCGGGTCTTCCATAGTGGGGACCACGTCTAAATAGAACCTTCCACCATAGCAGTAGACTTACAGGACAGTATGTAGACTTTATTTCTGAATTACAGTTTAAATGCCCTCATGAGCAATGTCATTCAACATCTGAAATGAATTTGTAATGGTTTCCTCTTTGTACACAAGTCTGTAAGGTTAATTTTGGTTACACACACTGTCAGGTCTTCCATAGTGGGGACCACGTCTAAATAGAACCTTCCACCATAGCAGTAGACTTACAGGACAATATGTAGACTTTATTTCTGAATTACAGTTTAAATGCCCTCATGAGCAATGTCTTTCAACGTCTGAAATGAATTTGTTGTAGTTTCCTCTTTGTACACAAGGCTTCTAAGATTGATTTTGGTTACACACACTGTCAGGTCTTCCATAGAGGGGACCACGTCTAAATAGAAACTTCCACCATAGCAGTAGACTCACAGGACAATATGTAGACTTTATTTCTGAATTACAGTTTAAATGCCCTCCTGAGCAATGTCATTCAGCATCTGAAATGAATTTGTAATAGTTTCCTCTTTGTACACGAGTCTGTAAGGTTAATTTTGGTTACACACACTGTCAGGTCTTCCATAGTGGGGACCATGTCTAAATAGAACGTCCACCATAGCAGTAGACTTACAGGACAGTATGTAGACTTTATTTCTGAATTACAGTTTAAATGCCCTCCTGAGCAATGTCATTCAGCGTCTGAAATGATTTGGAATAGTTTCCTGTTTTTGAACAAGTTTTTAGGGTTGATATTGGTTACACACACTGTCAGGTCTGCCATAGTGGGGACCACATCTAAGTAGAACCTTTCACTATAGCAGTAGACTCACAGGACAATATGTAGACTTTCTGAATTACAGTTTAAATGCCCTCATGAGCAATGTCCTTCAGTGTCTGAAATTAATTTGTAATAGTTTCCTTTTTGTACACAAGTCTGTAAGATTGATTTTGGTTACACACACTGTCAGGTTTAGTATAGTGGGGACCACGTCTAAATAGAACCTTCCACCATAGCAGTAGACTCATAGGACAATATGTAGACTTTCTTTCTGAATTACAGTTTAAATGCCCTCATAAGCAATGTCATTCAGCGTCTGAAATGAATTTGTAATAGTTTCCTCTTTGTATACGAGTCTGTAAGATTGATTTTGGTTACGCACACTGTCGGGTCTGCCATAGTGGGGACCACGTCTAAGCAGAACCTTACACTATAGCATAGACTTACAGGACCATATGTAGGCTTTATTTCTGAATTACAGTTTAAATGCCCTCATGAGCAATGTCATTCAGCATCTGAAATGAATTTGTAATAGCTTCTTCTTTGTACACGAGTCTGTAAGGTTGGTATTGGTTACACACACTGTCAGGTTTAGTATAGTGGTGACCACGTCTAGTCAACCTGAGCCACCAGAGCAGTGAGCACACAGAAGAATATATGGTCTATTGTTCTCAAGAGCAGTTTGTCCTCTCATAATTATTCCCATTAAGGGTGTAATATGAATTTTTGATTCATATTAAGATTGATGTCATTTACACACTCTCTTTTATAACATCGTGGATCTTCGTGTATGGTTAATTTGAAGTAGCAGACACTGATAAAACATTGTCTGAAATTCTGTACTGCATTTTAAATAATGATATACTTGTTTGAGATTTATTGAAATATTTATCTGTGATATTTGAAACTCCTGTAGCCTGAATGTGAGGACGCTGCTAACGTGATGGCCATATTTGAATCAAGCCACTCAGCTTCAGGTCCTGTGACCAACGCTGGAGCTTCCTGTACTGTCTTAAAGGTATTTAAAAGAGGTAAGGTCATCAACCAAAGATTTTAAACTTTTATATTTGTTTACATATGTGATGAATTTGACCTATCAGGTATATTAGAACAGGGAAGGCAGGAAGGAAAATATAATGCCAAAATTTATTAATTTTCTCTCTTACTTTCTTATTTTCAGAGTGTGATGCACCTTTGTCCTTACAACAAGTCAGTGCAGGGCAAGATGACGGTGAGACAGGCCAATTGCCGAGGTCAATTGAAAGAGAGGTAAGGTAATTATCCAGAGATGATCCTTTAGCGTTTATGTTTGTACACAGAACGTGTACAGTCTGTCGGTTAGACTAATACATAATGATGGTTAATAGGGTTCATTTACCAAACCTGTCGTTCACTTTTTTAAAAATTTCTCACAAACCACAGCAAGACAGTGATATTCCCACATGTGATCATGACTGAACAATCAGGCAAAACTGGCCATTTCAAACAGCCTCAGGCAAAATTGATTTAGTTTATTGTTATGCTTGTGAAAACTTTTTTTTTTAAAGTAAAAAGATAAAGCAAAGAGAAAGTATAAAATCAAAGTATATAGTGAGTCTGAGACCACATTGGAAATTTGGGATTTAATTCATTTAATATTATGAATGAACAAAAGTTTTGAAAATTTTGAAAAATTAAAAACAAAGCAAAGCTATGATTAAGTAAAATGAAGAAGAAATATGCAAGGTTTGGCACTTTTTCTTGGTCACTATTAATTAATGTAAGTATAGATTGACTCTCGGGTGCATTTGATCTACCCATCAGAGGCTTTTACACAAACTTGTAAACCCTAATCCTAGTCCATGCCAACTTGAGCACATGCTGTCATTAAAGCAAATGGAAACATACTGTACAAAATACTAAGAAATTGTCATTCATGTGAAGATTCTACTTTTCACACAGCCATGCTGTTGAAATGTGTAATTAAGAACTTTGTAATAAATGACAAAACAATGCAAAATAGAGCCATTTTCAGTAGTGGTATCAGACTTTTGGATTCCACTCTATACATATAAAGTACAACCCTGATGCAGTTTAACTGTTTACTGCGGTTATTTTCCACATACAGTCTCCTCCAAAAGTTTTGAATGTAAAGGCCAATTCTTTTGTTTTTGTTTAAAAGATTAATATGAGATGATAGATCAGAATTTAATTTTCATTCATAGATCAGCTCTTATTTTCTGATATTTACATATAGATGGCAGAACATGGCAACTTTTGTTTGAACCCACCCATTGTTCCAGTGAGCAAAAATAAAAGAACATGTGACTAACAGGTCTTTCTTGCATTAACCGGACCTTTACCAAATTGAGCAGCATTTCACCTCCTGAAAAGGAGACCGAAGGGAGAAACCCCCCAAAACAATTAACAACTGTGGTAAAAAGCCTGGAAAAGCATAACAAAAGAATAATGTAACAGTTTGGTGATGTCAGTGGGTCACCAGCTTGATGCAGTTACTGCAAGCAAGGGATACGCAAAAAAAAATAAAGTGTTGACTTCTTTAATTTACTTTAAGAATCTGTTCCTATACATTTGCTTACCTAAAGATTGGGTGGTCTGCCATCAAAGGCACCCTGTTTTTAGTTGTTTAACACATCTAGATGTAAATATCAGACAATAAAAGTTGAAATTATAAACTGTCATCTCATATTCATTTTTTTTAATCATTTTTTTTAAATTGCTGCAAAATGACAGCAAACGCAATTGATTCTGAAATTATGCCATTTGCGCCAAAAGCATGTTTGATTAAAGATCAAAGCTTTAATGACACTTTATGCATAAGAAAATTTCATATGATTTTTTTATCCCCTAGGTCCCTGTAAGAGAACACCCTGGAGCGTTAATGAAATCCGTGCTGTGGACAAGCACATGATGAGGTTCATTCAAAGCTGGAAAGTTCCAGGAAAAGCTGACTGTGTTCGCTGTATAGAAGCTGAACCACTGGCACTTAAAAACAGCGACTGGTTAGCTGTCAAGTTCTATGTAAAAAAATCTAATTACAGCATTGCAGAGACAGGTTTAAGACTTGGTCAACACATACACTATATTGCCAAAAGTATTCGCTCGTCTGCCTTCACACATATGAACGCGTCTTAGTGACATCCCATACTAAATCCATAGGGTTTAATATGATGTTGGCCCACCCTTTGCAGCTATAACAGCTTCAACTCTTCTGAGAAGGCTTTCCACAAGGTTTAGGGTTGTTTATGGGAATTTTTGACCATTCTTCCAGAAGCGCGTTGTGAGGTCAGACACTGATGTTGGACGAGAAGGCCTGGCTCGCAGTCTCTGCTCTAATTCATCCCAAAGGTGTTCTGTCGGGTTGAGGTCAGGCCTCTGTGCAGGCCAGTCAAGTTCTTCCACACCACTCGCTCATCCATGTCTTTATGGAGCTGCTTTGTGCACTGGTGCGCAGTCATGTTGGAACAGGAAGGGGCCGTCCCCAAACTGTTCCCACAAAGTTGGGAGCATGAAATTGTTCAAAATCTCTTGGTGCTGAAGCTTTGAGTTCCTTTCACTGGAACTAAGGGGCCGAGCCCAACTCCTGAAAAACAACCCCACACCATAATCCCCCCTCCACCAAACTTTACACTCGGCACAATGCAGTCAGATAAGTACCGTTCTCCTGGCAACCGCCAAACCCAGACTCGTCCAATGGCTTGCCAGATGGAGAAGCGTGATTCGTCCCTCCAAAAAACATGTCTCCACTGCTCTAGAGTCCAGTGGCGGCGCTTTACACCACTGCATTCGGCGCTTTGCATTGTGCTTGGTGATGTAAGGCTTGGATGCAGCTGCTCGGCCATGGAAACCCATTCCATGAAGCTCTCTACGCTGTTCTTGAGCTAATCTGAAGGCCACATGAGGTTTGGAGGTCTGTAGCGATTGACTCTGCAGAAAGTTGGCGACCTCTGCGCACTATGCGCCTCAGCATAGTGGCTAAGTTGCTGTCGTTCCCAGTCACTTCCAATTTGTTATAATACTACTGACAGATGACTGTGGAATATTTAGTAGCGAGGAAATTTCATGACTGGACACAGGTGGCATCCTATCATGGTACCATGCTGGAATTCACTGAGCTCCTGAGAGCGACACATTCCTTCACTGTTTGTAGAAGCAGTCTGCATGTCTAGGTGCTTGGTTTTATACAACCATGGCCATGGAAGTAATTGGAACATCTGAATTCAATGCTTTGGATGGGTGAGTGAAAACTTTTGGCAATATAGTGTATCTTGAATGGAGAAGCTCCAGAGATGTTTTTTTTTTTATATTATAATTATTATTCTTATTATTTTATAGTTATTATTATTATTATTATTATTTAATATTTTATTTTATTTATTTTTATTCTTTATTCTCAAGTTTATTGTCTAGGTTTATTGCAAGATGCGTATTTGTTAGGGTTGCTGAAGTATGTTCATAACTTTTCCACATATCTCTAAGACTTATTCTGTTACTAATAAATAAGTCTTTAAACTAATGCATCTATCTGGATTAGTAATTTTGTCTGCATCAATAAGAAAAAAGCAGTGTTCCTTCTCAGCATGGAACTGGTCCTCACAAAGAATGAAAACGGGTGATGTGTGTAATGATGGTCCTCAGATATACTCAATACCTGAAATGTCCCCACAAGTGACCTCCATGTCAGGTCAAAATCCATTATGGTGAGATATTTGAAATTTGAAGTGATATTATGATTCACAAGTGCATTTTGACAAAGCATGATTTTTTTCAAGTCTGTAGGACCTTTGGAAAGGGTGGTCCCCACAATGTGACAATTCCTCCAGGTGACCCCCACAATTCACAAAAACAAGTATAGGTGTGTGTGTGAGTGTGTGTGTGTGTGTGTGAGAGTGTGTGTGTGTGTGTGTGTGTGTGTGAGTGTGTGTGTGTGTGTGAGTGTGTGAGTGGGTGTGTGAGTGTGTGAGTGTGTGTGTGAGTGAGTGTGTGTGTGTGAGAGTGTGTGAGTGTGTGTGTGTGAGTGTGTGTGAGTGTGTGTGTGTGTGTGTGAGAGTGTGTGAGTGTGTGTGTGTGAGTGTGAGAGTGTGAGAGTGTGTGAGTGTGTGTGTGTGAGTGTGTGTGTGTGTGTGTGTGTGAGAGTGTGTGAGTGTGTGTGTGTGAGTGTGTGTGTGTGAGTGTGTGTGTGTGTGTGTGAGTGTGTGTGAGAGTGTGTGAGTGTGTGTGTGTGAGTGTGTGTGTGAGTGTGTGTGTGAGTGTGAGTGTGTGTGTGAGTGTGTGTGTGAGTGTGTGTGTGTGTGTGTGAGAGTGTGTGAGTGTGTGTGTGTGAGTGTGTGTGTGAGTGTGTGTGTGTGTGTGAGAGAGTGGGTGAGTGTGTGTGTGAGAGTGTGTGAGTGTGTGTGTGAGTGTGTGTGTGTGTGTGAGAGTGTGTGAGTGTGTGTGTGTGAGTGTGTGTGTGAGTGTGTGTGTGAGAGAGTGGGTGAGTGTGTGTGTGAGAGTGTGTGAGTGTGTGTGTGAGTGTGTGTGTGTGTGTGAGAGTGTGTGAGTGTGTGTGTGTGAGTGTGTGTGTGAGTGTGTGTGTGTGTGTGTGTGTGTGTGTGAGAGAGTGGGTGAGTGTGTGTGTGTGAGTGTGTGTGTGAGTGTGAGAGTGTGTGAGTGTGTGTGAGAGTGTGTGAGTGTGTGTGTGTGAGAGTGTGTGAGTGTGTGTGTGTGAGTGTGTGTGTGAGTGTGTGTGTGTGTGTGTGTGTGAGAGAGAGTGGGTGAGTGTGTGTGTGTGAGTGTGTGAGTGTGTGTGTGTGTGTGTGAGTGTGTGTGAGTGTGTGAGTGTGTGTGAGTGTGTGTGTGTGAGTGAGTGTGTGAGTGTGTGTGAGTGTGTGTGTAGGTGTGTGTGTGTGTGTGTGTGTGTGTGTGTGTGTGTGAGTGTGAGTGTGAGTGTGTGTGTGTGTGTGTGTGTGTGTGTGAGTGTGAGTGTGTGTGTGAGTGTGTGTGTGTGTGAGTGTGAGTGTGTGTGTGAGTGTGTGTGTGTGTGTGTGTGTGTGTGAGTGTGTGTGTGTGTGTGTGTGTGTGTGTGTGTGTGTGTGTGTATCACCGCAGTTCAGTTTACAGTGAAGAGAGTAAAACTTCAGTCAACGTTTCCAGATCAGATCTTCATATTTAAACTTACGTCCACTGTTTAACCTGCAGGACCAGAATTACTGCACACAGAACAGGGGAAGGTTCTAGAAAAGATCAGAGTGGAGACAGAGTTCCAGACAGAACCAGAACACAGACCGAAGGTGGTCTTTTCTAGAATTATGACCCCCTTCCAAAACTAAAGTTCCTGCTAAGTTGAAGCTGAACAGAGAGTCTGATCTGTAATCAGGTTTAGCTTCATTAGAAACAGGTTCTGTAGCAGAACCAACACTGGAACTGACTCTCTTTAGCACATATTACTGTTCTGTTACTAATTAATGTTGTAACAAATTATTCTACTATTAATTAATGTAATAAACCTGTGTGTGTTTCTGTTGCAGGTGTATCTAGGAGGTGATCAGGGTGTCCGTCTGATGATTAACTACCTTCACGCTTCTCTTCATGTACCTATGAGTTTCACACTAATAAGTAAGCAGTACTTCAGGATCGTGCATACATTGCAAGTTCAATATGTAGGTACACAGTAAATACTGTGTGAAATACCAGGTGTATTTTAGCTTTTAGTGATTCAGCATTTCAGTAAATACATGCATACATCATAGAGAAATGCAGAGTTAAATAGAATGACTACCTTCTTTCCAGTACATTAACCTTTTCCATATTAACGGTACCGGTAAGGTCTCTGTAATGAGATAGAAATAAGACTAAGAATAGCAGTGATTTTAAATATATTCATATCATGGCACATCATAATGAATTAATAATGAAATTAGACACATTATATGACATGTAAAATGATTAATGGTGTGCTGATATGTTTAGCAATTTGTATAATTAATTATCATTACTGACATTTTTCCTGGCACAACTTAAGTAAATCAGCATCACATTGATCTCAGTCCTCTGCTGGTAACTGACAGCGCAGAACGGCTGCTTACAGAGTTTGATGAAAAGGTCTTGTGTGTTCAGTCTAGTTTTTCATAAATAAACTAATCCTTTAAACTGTACTAGGGTTTTCAATGAAACACACAGTGTTATGACTGTAGACAGAGCTGCTCTGCTGCCAGTTACATTATTATTTTCATTGTTCTTATTATGCACCAGTATTTGTTTGGGTTAATCAATAACTTATCTAATCTAAATCCTCTGGAAAAGGTCTTTTGTTCTGTGCATTCTGTATTTGAAACAGGCCTTTGGAACGTGGTTAGTTGTTGATTAATTAATAACCTGCCTAATCTTAATTCTTTAGAGAAAGCATTTGAATCTCATGAAAAGAAAATCTTTTCCAAGCAAACAAGGTCAGGCAAGATATTTAGTGCGTTCCATTCTGAAGGCAGCTACCTAACTAGTCACTGCCTTCAAAGGTTCCTCTCTCCTTGGGCAGCATTTTAACTGAAAAGGAACCTTAGTAGGCATCACATTTGGGACACTCTACAGAACCATCATACATCATAACTTTCACTGTGCTGTACACGTTTTCCTCGCAGTCGCTGTTTAGCTTACACTCCCCTCCGACTGTAAAGGTGGATCAACTCAGTGTATAAAGACCTTGAATCTGCAGCAGCTGTTTTCCTGCACTGACACTGCTGTGGAAATGTGTATGAAGAACCGGCTGCTTTAAGGAGTCGGATCTGTCGTGATTTACTCGATTCGGTGCAAATAGATACAGATAATCGTGACTATTAGTTTGTGGTTCATTTTAGTTCATTTAGTGTCTTCATCCACCTTAATGAACGTGTTTTACTTTAAAAACACATAGAATTAAAACTACATATAATCTTGTACAAAATGCACTCAGAAAACAGGATCGCACACAGTCTGTTAAGCTGCTAAAATGCATTTTATTTTATGCATTCTCATCTGATGTATGAGCTCCTAGTCTGAAATTTTGCCATCAACATTCACCTCACACTGATGTGACTGTGATAAACACAGTAATAATAGAGCTGGCAAAAATAAGCATTTGTGGAATTTATTTTTAAAAACATTTTGTTTCTGAACTGCTACGTCGTCCAGTACGTTAAAGTATTTTTCATAGTTCAGAGAGAACATCAGTCTGTAGTGCTGGTTCCACCGTGTGTTCCCCAAATACGCTTGTCAAGTGAGCTGCATTCAGCCATTGAGTGCAGTTTTCTCCCCCTAACAGTTTCTGTTCCTCAGCTCCTCAGACAGCGGCTCTCTGCTTCTGTAACGTTATTCCCTGACGACAGAAAAAAATCAGAGTATAGAATCAAATCGATAATTATTTACATACAAAAATCACTACTAAACAGTGAACAGTCAATGTTTTAAACAATAACATTTTTTTAAACAATACTTTTTTGAAGATTCAGTGCATTTATACAGCTAGCCCATTAGCTAAGCTAACTAATGTTAGCTTCACCTAACAATTTACAAACACAGCCTGTCAGGTTGCGTTAGACAAGCAAACTGCCTAAATTTCTTCACAGGAACCATTTCTAGAGATTTACAAACACAAATATGTTAAATACTTTACACAAATACAACAACCAATCAAAACAGTAAAGTCAGAAGTCAAGAAATAACTTACATTTTGGTTGGTCAAAATCAGCCACTTGGTCAGCCATGTTTATCAAACTGGAGCGACGGAGCTCTCGGCCAGTTAGCAGGTGAACAGTATTGTGGGATTGTCTTCGCTGAGAAGGATACATACAATGCTGCCTTCAGACCTTCAGACTTCAGTTGACTTATGCTGCCTTCTGAATGGGACAGCCTTCGACTCAGAAGCCCAAATTCTGCCTTAGAATGCTGCCTACTTAGACAGCTGCCTCCGATTGGAACGCACCACTGAATTCACCCATAACTCAGGCACAGTCCTGTCCTTTTGTTTTGAAACATAAAAACACAATGTAGTAAGTTTCTACTGTAGTCAGTGCACATACGCATTTCTACTTATTGCAATATACATATTTATAAATATATAAACATTTATCTTAGCTGCTCAGTTCTTTATCTGCTCATATTATATATTTGTACTTCAGCACTTGCACATCCTTTATATTACTCAGATTATTTGTGTATTGTTCACTGTATATATTCCAAATTTATTTTATTGGATCTAATTTTATTTTATATCTATACCTGCACCAAGAGAAATTTTCTGTACATCTGATACTTGGAGAATAGAAATTCTGATTCAGACTCTCCTGAAATTATAAAATCCTGTGACACAAATTGAACCACATGCACTTGAAAGAAAAGCATTTGTATTTGAATTTCTTGAGATGTACAAACAGGCATGGTCTTCTTGTACGATATCTGTTTTACCGTATTGTTTCAGAATTATAAGCATGTTAGTGCTTTATTAAACTTAAAGCTGCTGCTGATGTGCTGTTATGAGTGCATGCTAGTTAGCTTGTTAATTTAACTAATGTGAGCTAAGTTAATGGGCAGTAAAACTTTGTGCCTCAGATATAAAACAGAAAGATGTGCAATTAATATATTAGCAGAACATGCTGTGATCAGTCTCAGCTCCCAGACTTTCTCCTTCAGTAGTAATGACAGATGTTGATTTCATTTTGTTTGGCTGTATTATTTTCAATGTTATAGCCAGCCAACTCAGGGATGTTTTCACATGTGGACTGTTTGCAAATAAAAAGGACTCAATAAACAACTTATTTTACTATCTTACTTTTTTCTAAATTTACTTCACTTTATACTTTTCCAGATCATCATTAACTCCCAGTTCATTAGTAATGAGTCACCATGTGTTCCACTTCATAATAGTGTTCCTGATCATCATTAACTCCTAGTTCATTAGTAGTGAGTCACCGTGTGTTTCACTTCATAATACTGTTCCTGATCATCATTAACTCCTAGTTCATTAGTAGTGAGTCAGCATGTGTTTCACTTCATAAAAGTGTTCCTGATCATCATTAACTCCTAGTTCATTAGTAGTGAGTCACCATGTGTTTCACTTTATCATACTGTTCCAGGTCATCATTAACTCCTATTTCATTAATAGTGAATTACCACGTGTTTCACTTTATACTGTTCCAGATTATCATTAACTCCTAGTTCATTAGTAATGAGTTGCTCTTCACAGATAAAAAATTACTCAACAGACAACTTATGTACAACATTTCTTAATTAATTAAGAAATTAATTAAATTAACTCATTAATTTCTTTTTTTGTACTACAGTACATCATGTCTTTAGGGATTTCTATTTCTAATGTATGTATTTCACTGTTCCAGATCATCAACTCCTAGTTCATTAATGATGAGTTACCATTGTTTCATTTTATATTGTTCCTGATCATCATTAACTCCTAATGAAGAAAAGCAATATCTCATTCATTATCTAACAGAAAGTAATTATATAATTACTTGGTAATATTTAGAACCAAGTGAATTTGAAGGTAGGACACATACACAGTCAGATATTCCTGTGAGCCCTCTCTTCAACTGACCCTGCCCTCCAGAGGACTTTAAAGGAGAACTACTGTTCAGAAGAAACACTGGCACACATGCTCCTGCAGAAAAGAATGGTGTTTTCTTTTCTAAAGATGAGAGGTAAGCAGACTGGTCTACTGCATACTGAAGTATTTTAGCAGTTGTCCCATTTGTAGGCTGATGTGCAAATTGGTTCACTCTGCCAAATATGAAGAGGTGCATTGGCCTTTTAAGGTTTCTGACCAAAATAAACCCATGAGGGACACCAGTCAGCACAGTGTGGTGTGATGCCCCCAGCCTTCTCTGAGGATACCTGTTTCTGTGAATAGAAATGCAGGATATAATCCATTATATTGTACACACTGCATACTGTGTAGTGTATTTCACTACTGTTAGAAGTGTTGGAATACGATACATCAGTTAATAGTTTTGCAGGACTCAACTAATGAGCAATTAATGTTGAATTGATCAGTAATTTATGAGTAGTTATTCTAAGAATCCATAGTTACTAAGTAATTCACTATGAGACTCAGTAGTTAATGTTTAGTTAATAGTGAACTACTCTAATCATTAGTTTGCTATTACCTACTAAGTAGTTAACTAGTAGTCCTTTGTAGTTAAGAGTAGTTACTTAAGTGTTAATGCAGCACTACTCATTCATCCCTGCTTAGCTCCTGATTAGTTACTTATTAAGTATGAAACAGTATTGTAAAGTGTAACCCAGAAGTTTTATGAGCTTCTGATAAAAGAGACTGAGGGCAAAGCAACATCAGAGTTTGGAATCAAAAATGTTTCTGAAGCTCATTAACACTGTTAGAAATAAAGGTTCTGTGCTGAGAGTGAACTGTTCTCACTGATGATGCTGCTGCTGCACAGACTCAAACTATGTAATTATAATTTTTGCTTCACCTGTTTTTCCCCAATTCTGTATTTTAGTATTTTATACTAACATTAAAACTTTATCCTCTGTGCATTTTGCTCGTGTTATGGGTTCCCCTTTTGAGTCCTGGTTCCTCTCAAGGTTTCTTCCTCTTGCTCTTAGGGAGTTTTTCCTTGCCACTGTCTCCATTGGTGATGCTCATGGGGGCTCAGACCGGATTTTTCTGTAAAGCTGCTTTGTGACAACATATGTTGTAAAAAGTGCTATATAAATAAACTTTGACTTCTGAAGTTTACAATCACAAATGGTATTGTTTTGCAAATTTTACTCTGAATAACATTCATATAATAATTATTACTATTATGTTTTTCAAGGAAAATGTGAATTAGTATCTACAGAGTTGGAGTTGTGCTGCCACCACAACCATGAAGCTTTAAAATGTGCCTCATGTCTCACTGTAACACACACACATTTTCGAAGCTGTTTATCCTTCTGGGTCGCAGGGGTGCTGGAGCCTATCCCAGTGGTCATTTGCGAAAGGCAGGAAACACCCTTGATGCCAGTCCATCACAGGGCAGAGAGACAGACACACAGACATATACAGTCACACTCACAATCACACCTAGGTGCAATTTAGCATGTCCAATTGGCCTGACTGCATGTCTTTGGACTGTGGGACACTCCACACAGAAAGGACACTGGTTACCCAGCCGTATTAATATAGTATTTTACTGAGTAATAACAAAGTTTTGTCATTAAGTAATATCACAGAGTAATACGAGCCTTCAGAAATATTATATCCCTATTTAAAATATAAAACTCAGCTCAATACTAGGACATTAATGGTCGTGTTCATGCATGACATGAAAACACTAAAGACACAATGTGACATCTGAGTTCTTTATTTTCTGTTCCAAAGAAGTTCAAACCATGTTGTTTTACTTACACAGAAATATTTGCTTTATGTGGGTTTGCAGATTTCACAACGTTTTACATTTTTGAAAGCCTATTTGCAAAAAAAAACAAAAAAAACAACGACAAGCGATGCATGAAACTGAACTCTGATGATGCTTCTGGAAGGTGGGAGGAGCTACAACTAGAACAAGAATTTCAACTGCTTTGTGCTGATTTTTTTTCATAAAGATAATACTACTGAATGCAATCAGGGAGCCGCTTCTCTTTAACTCTGCTTCTCTCTCTGGTGTTGGGCAGGGTTCTCAGAATAGGGATAACCGTACCGTTTGAAAAATGACAGTGGAAAACAAACCTGCCATCAGTCTCGCAATGAAGTTTATTAAAAAGGTTAATCAGACTGTTTTGGTGTTTGTGTGTTTTCAGGAATCTCGTACAAAATCCTGAAGGGCTGTATACTGTCCACAGTGACACCCGAATAACCAGCAATTAAAGGAGAGGTCAAGACCAGACGAACACCTTTATCATCTCCTACGTACACCTGAAACAGAAACACAAACAGGATCATCAGAACATTAAAAACTCCTAAAGAGAAACACGTCCAGCGTTTGTCATCATGTTACCATCATGGATGTCTTTCTGAATGATCCAGGGCTTTGAATTTTGAAAGGGGCTGTTTTGCTACTTGCCCTGCGATGGACTGGCGACCTGTCCAGGGTGTATCCTGCCTTCCGCTCAATGACAGCTGGGATAGGCTCCAGCACCCCACCGCGACCCAGAAGGATAAGCGGTTTAGCTGATGTATGTATGTATGTATATTTTGCTACTTTTTTCCACATATCATCTCTTCATAATAAAAACTACACTATTTGTCCAAAAGTATCTAGACGCTCCTTTTAATGAGTGAATTCAGCTACTTTGAGGTCATTTATTGCTGACACAGCTTGTATAATCTCCACAGGAAAGCACTGAACAGTAAAATAGAGCTCTGGAGCAACTGATCCTAAGGTCTCCATGCCCAGTGCCCAGCATAGTCTAGAGGGGTATAGAGCCCCCCAGCATTGGACTGTGGAGCAGTGGAACTGTGTTCTCTGGAGCTCTATCCAATACCTTTGGGCTGAGTTGGAGTGATCCAGAACTGACCATCCAACATCAGTACCTGACCTCACTAATGCTCAATCAAACCCTCACTGCAATGTTCCAGCATCTAGGATGTGTCTCAAAACCTAGTGACCTCTCTACATAGACAGCACTTCATGTCATAATACGCGTGCTCCCGACAAGAAGGCTGTCTCAATTCTTAGGTACCTCAAATATGCTGCCTACCAAGGGATCTTATTTTGGCCGAATATTGAGAGGGCATTGGATGTTTCCTCGATGAATCCCACGATGCAACGCGGTGCAACTTTTGTTTGAAGATGGTGGGCAGAAGTGGTGCAGTAAGCAGCTCGGCTATTGGTGAAGGCATCTTACAATGTAAGCTATTCTGAATTTCTGTGGTGTTTTATTTGTTTTCCTGTCACAAAGGTGCAGAAATAGCTCTCCATGTTCACATACATGAGTTGTTTCCACTGTTTAGGGACCTGATCAGCGCTTGTGGCCTCCATAAAGGCTCGTATGGAGACAGGCTGTTCACCAGGGAGAGAAACTCTGCTTTACACACACAAAATCATTTTTTTCATCAGAACACCAAAAAGTTCTGAACTGCAGAAAATATGGCGATTCTTAATGTTCCACACTGATTTTCAGACTTTGGGACACATTTACTTCAAAACAATTGGATCTAACTGCTCACCATGTGGCCATGAGGGACAGGGATGCAGCCTCACTTCCTGCTCTGAAATTCAGGGGCAAGGCTAAAATAAGGCTCCGCCCACAAACGAAAACAACTGTGTTTTGGTAGTGACATGAAAAAATGGGATAGCTTTTTTTATTTTATTTATTTTTTTATTTAGAAATTAAGCTCATGATCAGTCTTAATCTTTCTGATTCACTTTAATAGCAATCAAATTAAAAATAACATTTAATAAAACATGCATTATTTTTAGAAGTGTAATTTTAGGGGTTGGGGTTTGAACAGACCGCTCCCAGGATAAGAACCTATAAATGATGAATGTGTATATATTTAGCTTATTACTATTTCTATTAATGTCATGGGTGTAAATACATCACAATGTAATCCTTATAAATATCTAAGATCTGAACGCTTCGTTGTTTTTTAACAGTATTTTTACTGTAGAAGCTCAGTTTGAACTCACACAGTGGAAAGGTCCTTATAAAGGTCGACTCTGAACATTAGCAGGGTGGCAATGTTTACAGACATTCTCACAGTGGTAATCAGTAACCGGGGGTGGTGGGGGGTGGTGGGGGGTGGGTGGAGAAAAATTGGAGATTTCTCTACACTTAATGGAACAAACACCCGCCCCCCAGCGAGATGGAAGCCAGTGATGTGGCAGATATTTTGGGGTGGTATACGGGGTGGCCAGTCAGATTTCTGGGTGGACACTGGCCACCTTGGCCACCGCTTTAAAACTGTGCATGCATACATTTCCACACACACTAACACACACACTAACCTTGGCTTCATATCGTCCTATTCTTGCCAGTAGGAACACTCTGTAGGAGAAGGCCTTGAAAAGCTTAAATGAGCCGGGAATTTGATCCCTAACCTCCAGTTGAAGGAAAGAAAACAGAATAATTACACAATCAAGATCAGCAGTTTACAGCATTTCTTAATCTGTGTAGCAACAATAACGTTAACAATGAACTTCTTTATAGAGCACTTTTAATACAGGTACTTGCTCAGTATGCTTTACAGACAGTAGTAAAGTAAAACTGGTAATTATACAGTAATAATACAGTAATAATACAGTAATAATACAGTAATAATGGTAATTTGTCCTTCTATTACGGTTACTCTTTGGTAATAGCAAAATAATTAAACAGTAAATGAATAAAAAAAAGTTGACAGCATTCATTTAAATAATCTGAGTCTAATTTAAAAGGCCAATAAAAAGATGTAAAAATTTTAACTAAAAAGATATATTTTCAAGCAGGGATACGGAAAGAATCTAAGGATGCTGAAAGTTTAGGCATGAAGATGTCATGCAAAATTATTTGCCTTTTTTAATGTATTTATTTTTATAATTTCTATCAAACATAATGTGTCATTTATTGTTGTTTTTTGTCTCTAACTTAGTAAATAATCACATTACAGCATCACACAATTACAGCTGTCATTAGAACCCTCCACTTAGAGAACTGTAAAGTGCTACATGTTGCTTTTCCAAAATTATAGTTTACTTGCAATAAGGAAGGCTAATTTTGGTGGCATAAATAATGGCTTTTTTCAAATTTTACCTAGGTGACTATGTTATATCTACATATGACAATATATTACCAACATATATCAGTATGGTATTTACACAGATGTAGTTTGTTTCTCAGAACTCTCAGAAATAAAGTGATTTTCTACAACTATTTGATCCTGAAGATCCAAATATCTCATTTAATATCTCATCTGCACTTTATAAAGAGTGAGAAAAGAATCAGTGTATTTTTCCATTATGCATCAATTAATGGAAATATACCCAACACACTGTTAGAAATAAAGGTTCTGTTCAGGTACGTTTTCATCATCAAGGTACAAACAGTGTAAATGTTTCCTCAAAGCTCCAACAGTGGTTTTAAGGTCTGATTGTGAACCTTAAATAAGTTTCTCCAGGTGAAAAGTTCGTATTTGTACCTTTTCATAACCGAATGTTTTAAACAGAACAGTAAAATAAAAGCCTGGAGACGAGACGGGGTGTGTGGAGTCAGTACAGCTTAGAACATATCATTTCAGTGGATTATGGTTCAGTTATGTTCCCTGACTAAAGGTACTGAGATGGACCCTTGAGGGTTCCACCCCAGTGACAGATGGGGCACTGACCCAGACACAGTTTAGGACCTTTATTTCTGAGAGCGTATGCCAACATTTTAACATACAGTGTTATACAAAACTACGGTACATGTTACGTTTTATTTTCTACCTTCTCCAATATGTTAAACTTAGCAAATAAATGGAAACTGTGTGCTAAACTGCTCTGTGTGGAAGACATAACTTAGAAAATCAACAACACATGGAATCTGACCAGGGGTGTTCAAACTTTCCACATGCAGCTGTAATTGAGTCCAGAGCCCAGAATATTATCCATTACTCACCTTATCACACATGTCCTGTACCTCCTGAGTGGCAGGCAGCTCTTCAGACCAGGGTTCCACCTTCTCTGAGGACATGATGCTTCAATGCTAGAGGTTTCGTCTGCAGAACAATGGAAGTACAGAAAGATCTAAGCAGGTTTTTATTTCTCTCCCTGCAGCTCCTCTAGTTATACTGTCAGGATCACTGACTCATTTACTGACACATGAAATGTGGGTGTGGCTTAAAACAGCCAATCTGAAAGATTGTTCTGTTCAGGAAATGAGCAATGAGGAAATAAGGGGCTGAACATCTCCCACATGATGAATCTGAACTACACACAGTTTGACCTTTCAGTTCATTTAAGGACCAAAACACAGTCAGACACACAATATAAGACATATCTGCGTTCTAGGTGTAGCAGAATGAACTGTTCTGGATATTCCTTTTAGCTAGACATGTTTCTTTTCCAAGAAGCTGGGTTCTCCAAAGTGATCACTTATTGCTCTTGTATGGACAGTTTTATCTTTGTTATAAATACTATATTACATAAAAGTATTCCAATATCTAATAGTTTTTTAATGATAGTTAATTATTATATCATTTTACCTGTGCATTAATAAGTGCCACTTGAATTTCTAACAATAGAAATGACTAAAGCAATAATGTTTAATAAGTTATACAATATGTTTATAAATGCATTACATATATATATATATATATATATATATATATATATATATATATATATATATATATATATATTCTTCAGATAGCACCAAAAAGGGTTCTTCAATTGTTAAGATGTCAAGCTTTTCAGTGCTATGTAGAAACATTTGCAAAGAGATCCTATATAGAACCATACACAACACATCCTCCCTCAGTCTGAAGAACAATTTCACCATGCAGAGAACTCTTAAATCATGCAAGGGGTTCTTTGGCTGATCATAGTTCTATACAGAACCATTTTCTTTACTAAAGAACCCTTGAACCATCATTGTAAGTGTGTACTTCACATAGGAATGTGTCTGAAGAATTAAAAATTAATGAAACATTAATTTTGAGTGATTTTTGTATTTACTATTTACACCATCAATTAACATGTAAATCTCACTTACACCAATAACTGTTCCACATTCCCAAATGGACTTTAAACTGTTTGAGTTTTTGAACCTGTGTCAGTTCGTTAATGGCTATGCAAAAAATAATAATTCAGTCCATGTAGTGGGGAATCTGAACCCGACTGCAGCCCAACAGATTTCTGACCGTTAGGTCAGAGTTGAGTTCAGACAGAATCTTTACTTTGAACAAGTCAGCCTCACTGAGGATTTACTGAATGTCTCTAAATCACTGTCTGAAGTTCACCAACAATCCAACACAATCATTTTAATCATCCCTGAACACGTTTTTTAAAGGGATACTATTATTTATAATCTAGAAATACATGAACAAGTGAAAGAAATAAAACAGGCCGATGATGAGAAATGTAGCATCTTCAAAACAAATTTAAAGGAAATGAGATAAAAGTATGAAACTAGTGTAAACAAACAAAAATCATTACTGATTTATCAATGATTAACACAGTGTGACTTTCACTAAGTCTAAAACATTCATGCAGAGGTGTGTAATGAGGACGACTGATACAGCTGTGTGGACAGTGTTACAGTCGCGCCCTGATAGTGATTCTCCTTTCAGTGTTGTGAAACTCTCTGATAAGACTGGGAATAATTTGGGTGTGAAGTGAAATATCTGTCAAGTGACATTAGGACAGAAAATGTTTAGCAAAAAATCCTTGAAATTATTTTTAATACAAATTATGTATCTACCTTCAGCAGTTATATATACACTGTTTGTTTAACAGCCAGAAAAGTACAGAGGTCAGTTTAATCAGCTAAGGTGTAAGTCATATCAGTCATGTCAATGACATAAACTACGATTCCACTTTATACAGATTCCAGTTTATCCAGTTTATCACGACTCCAGCAGCATATTGTCCTGTACACCATGTACACCAGTCATCACCACCTTGGTACCATATTGTCCTATCTACACCAATCTACACCAATCTATACCAGTCTAGTGGCATATTGTCACATCTACATTCTACAGCAATATACACTAATCTAGTAGCATATTGTCCTATTAACACCAATTTTCACTAATCTAGTAGCGTATTGTCCCATTAACACCAATTTACACTAATCTAGTAGCATTCTAATTTTTTTCTCATTTACTGAACTTCTGTAAAGAATAATTTACCCTGATTTAAATTCTGTTGTCAGCATTAACGAAATATTCAGTTGAGCCAACCTAAGAATATTTGTTGACCTAAGAATACAACTAGCAGAAAATCTGAGTCACAGCAACTTTTCTGCCTTTATGTCTACATTTTAGCACATGATCTTATTCAGGTGATGTACAGTTTTAATCATGCTACAAAGGCAGGCTAATAATAGGCATGTTGCTCAAGTCCACCCTAATCTGCTGTGTGGTCAGCTGTAGTTTAAGTTGATTAAGCCACAATCCTTAAAACATCATGATCCATTATGAGGGGTTGGTGTAGTGTAGGGTTAACACTGCTGCCCATAACACGACACAGGGTTCAGTTCCCTGCTGCAGCAAAAGCACCATGCTCCATCAAAAAGTACTACTAGTACTACCAAAGTAGCGCATGATTAAAACCTTACATCACTGTGGCTAATAGCATCTGCTAATAAATGCCTTAAATCTAATGTCAGTATGAAAGGAGTTTTGACTAATTGTGTTTCTTAGGACAACAAAATTATTCACAGAATTTGAGTAAACGCTAGTGGAAGCTATTATACATTGGCATTAAGACATTTTGTTGGAGCGTATTGTTCTATCTACACCAGTGTAGTAGCATATTGTCCTATATACCCCAATCTACAAGCATATTATCTTATCTACACCAATCTAGTAGGATATTGTCCAAAATACCCCATTGTAGTAGCACAGTTTCCTATCTACACTGATCTACATCAGTCTAGTAGGAGGTTGTCCTAAGATCTGAGGCCTCACCTCCTTTGCGGAGTAGAATTACATGAGCTGTTTTCCAGATACTGGGAATTTCTATGACAATTTAGACCTTTGGCCGTCTCTTCTCTTAGCACTCGCTGAAACACTTTATAAATGCAATCGGTAGCATCCAAGTTAGATTAGTGCAGCGTTCCTCTAACTGTCATTCCAGCCAAAACCCCAAACAGGTTACAGTACAAGGTGATTCAAAAAGATTCATCTGATTTCAAAACACCATATTTCTCCAGCCATGAGGCACAGAGGAACCAATCACAATCCAACTGAAAGAGGGAGTTTCTGACTGTCAGTGGAAGACGGCTCCCTTCAGCCTGAGAGGAGATGAGACCCCTGAGCAGAATGTGTTACTGAGACCTTGTACAATTACATAATAAACTTTATGCTCATTTAAACCATTTACAGTTCACTGCATTGATCTGTAATGATTTACAAGAGAAATAAATCATTTTGAAATCGGATCAATCTTTTTGAATCCTGCTGTGTTTTAGAGAATGCATCAGAAAGGGTCGTAACTTAGTCTAAAAGAACTGACCATGTCACCCTCATTCTCCGGAGCCTTCAGCGGCTGCTGTTTGATACCATTAATCAATAATAAAACAGTATTTCTCTATGGTCTCTAAACCTCTCACAACTTTAATTTAGTTTAGATTTTTAAGTCAAATTCATCACGAGACAGAATGGATGCAATGAATCAATTTATTTGATTAGAACATTAGAGAACAATTAGACTTTTGATTGGTTTACACTGTTTACTTTTCTTGATCTTTTCCACAAACAGACTCGATCATTTCATCTTGTTTTAATAATCAATCATGTTGATATGCTGATTTTATTTGGGTGTCTGTTCTCTCTCTCCCTTTGGTCCAGGTTCCACGCTTGGCTGAAAGAAGTGGAGAGAAAGGTCTTAAGTAAGAACTGGAATATAATCCAGAATCAATTCCAGCAACACAGAAAATCCCTCTAACTCACCTGCAGTGGGCAGTAGGGAGGGGCACATGATTCTCCATACAAACTGTGCTTCATTATCTGAAACACATTAAAAATCATTCCTAAAGCTCACCTTTACAGTTCCCTTCTATCTTTTAGCGTTTTTGTTCTAGATCTTATGTTGGCTGTGAGTTTCAGCTTCTTCAGTCATCAGTAACTCCTCTGAACAATCAATCACTGCTTTAATGAACTTTAATATACAGACAGTGATACAGCAGCACTTTGACAATGAGGATAAACTCATTCCAGTTAAATCTCAGACACACCTCGCATCTTGTCCTTTGGTCAAAGGTTGACATCAGCACCCAGATCATCTTGGTCATTGCTGCCTCAGAAGTGATGTCATATCCAGGAATAACATGTTTCTTTGTCAAAATCGGGCACAAAAAGAAACAAGGCCACAGTGGTCAATGAACACGGTGCACACGTCATGCTTACAGGCTGGACTACAGAACATAATAACTGGCTTATTGCTTTTATAAAACGTGGGCCAACATAAAATATGATAAAATGTAGTTTCTTTAGAGTGCGGTATCGTTTTTGTCATAAAACAATGAACATATGATAACGCAGCACTGTTTAATGCAAACACTTTCACTTTATAAGTACTTTTTGGTGACCAAACTTCCACCGCGAGTCTTATTTAGCACCAATCCAGTGGCGCCCTCTTCTCTCACTGGGCTGAATCTCAAAAGGCTCCCTGCTCCCTACACAGTGCACTATGTAGGAGTTTAAATACTGGATCCTGCAGCCCAGCAGAGCAAAATACAGCTAAGAAACAGTCATGTGGGACTCAGACTCATCCACACTCGATACATGATGCACTGTTTGACTGTAGAGGCTAGAACTTCTAAACTTTTATACCTAGAACACTATTTAGGGAGTACGGAGCCGTTTGGGATTCAGCCTGGGTTTGACGCAACTTCTGACTGAAACACGGATATTTGAACCTTGTAAGACATTAAAGTGACATTTTTAGATTTTTATTCTGCCATTTTACAGTTAATCACACCATAAATACTTTAACTCAAGCCTGTGATGTTAATGATGGAGCTGTTTAGCATGTTAGCACTCTTTTAGCCTGTTAGCTAGCTGACCAGCCTTGTTCTAGTTAAGAACATAAGTCTCCAGCCCCTCAGTTTTAACAGAACCGGGTTCTTACTTCAGTGATAT